TGTTGCACTCCATACTTTTCCCTACCACTGCCGCAGATCGCAGCCTGCCGTGTCGGTTTCCTGCAAAGGGATTTTCAGGCAGACCTCCTTATGGGAGCCTGGCTGTAAGATCTGTGTGAGATCTGCCTCCCAGCTTTTGCTGCTCCGGACTTTCTTAAAAAGAGAGAGACGAAGGAACAGGGAAATAAGCACAGTGTCCTAGTGCAGCATCACAAATTTGCGTCTAATGGCACCGTCTCCCAGTTTGGTCGAGGCTTGCCAAAAAAGTTGGCCACTGTTGACAGAGATGGAAAAAAACCCTCTCACTCTCCATCTGCCGGGACTGTCAAGCAAGGAAGGCCAGAGAGAGACAAAGTGGTTTCTAAGAGGCCTCTTACTCTAGGAAAACATGGCCATGACATCAAGGAGGGAGTTAACAAACTGTTTTTCTCTCCATCCAAGTTTCTCCTGACTTAAGAGAGAGTTTTGCGTGAGTTGTCTGAGGGGTGGCTTCTCATTGCCACCTCCCCAGCCAGCTGTCGGCCGTGACATCAAGGAGGGAGTTAACGAACTGTTTTTCTGTCCATCCAAGTTTCTTCCAACTTAAGAGAGAGTTTTGCATGAGTTGTCTGAGGGGTGGCTTCTCATTGCCACCTCCCCGGCCAGCTGTCGTTGCTGAGCAAGGATTTGAACCCAGGCCTCTTGAGTCGGAATCTGCCGTTCCGTCCGCGACACCACCCTGGCTCTCAAAGAATCGTTAGTGGTTTAATGGGGAAAGAGAACGGATGTAGCAACACAAGCAAAAATGAGCTGGAAAGGGGGAAAGAGAGAGCTCTGAATGAAGAGATGGTGAAACAGAACAGTTCGTGAGAACGGATGTAGCAACACAAGCAAAAACGAGCTGGAAAGGGGGAAAGAGAGAGATCTGGATGAAGAGATGGTGAAACAGAACCGTTCGTAGAATCATGGAATCATTGAGTTGGAAAGGGGTCCCGGAGGTCATCAAGTCTAACCTGCTCAGTGCAAAAGTCCAAATCAAAGCAGATCTGACAGACGGTGGTCCAATTTTCTCTTGAAGGCTTCCCACATTGGAACGCTCTCCACCTCCCAAAGCCATGGGTTCTGTTGTCATACTGCTCTAACAGTTAGGAAGTTTTTCCAGATGTTCAACCGAAATCTGGCCTCCCGTCGCTTGAGCCTTTCCATTCCTCAATTCCGTGCATGATGGAATTGCATGGCCGTGCATGACCATGTGCATTAAACAGTGTGGACGATGGTTGTTGTTTTTTTTTACTAGAAGTCATGAACAAATGAGTACAGACATGGGGCAGACCGACGTCCATGTTCCCCCAACAGTCCTCCCACCACCCCCTAAACGGAGACCCTCCTTGTCAACCCTGGACTCTTCAGGATTGATGCCGTGGCCCCTCCTGGCCCGGCTCCAGAGCAAACATCCCGAGGCTTAGAGTTTCAAGCTGCCACATTATATTTTGCAGCAGCTGCCAAAGCCCCACTTTAGTT